TATTATTATTATTATTATTATTTACTAAACTTTTAATTTTGACTTTGAGTTTTAAAGTAGTGTTTTTAGGTACTCTTATTTCAACTACAATAGATTTACAAATAACTGTTCACATTCTCACCTATTAAAACTTTTAAGAAAAGAAGACTGAAAATGTTTCTTGTCACAAATTAAAACAGTGTGTTCAGTGATAGATATTAGTTGATACTCCTTTGACACAAAAAAATAATATTAATAAATAATAAATAAAAATTTATTTATTCAAACTTCAAAATGGTTTATCAAACCATCTGCAATAAAATTGTGATGCATGTCTTAATAAAAAGTACTTATTAATTAGTCAAGTATTTTTCATTTTATATAAACAACTCTATAAATCAGTGTTTTTCAACCTGTGGGTCGCGACCCCCAGGGGGTCGCGGGCAAACGAAAAATACAAGTGTTTGTAGGTTCTACACTACATTAAAAAAATACTGCGCATTTGATTTTTTGATCGATACTCAGGTCTCAATCATCCTGAAGATACTGATCCTAAAAAAAAAAAAAAATCAACAGCTCAAGAACTCAAGACAAATTAAGTATGTAGCTTCCCCCAAAAAGGGAAGCTGCATACTTAATTTGTCTTGAGTTCTTGTGTTAAGTTCTTGTGTTAAGTCAGAAAAAAAATTAAATACAAAGGTTTTAATATCACTGATATAGTTTTAATATGGCCCTGGGGGAGTCGCCAGAATTTTTTAACTTGTAAAGGGGTCGTGTATTCAAGAAGGTTGAAAAACACTGCTATAAATCCAATTTATGATTAAAGCCAGAATATCTAAATTATTTGACTATAATTTTTCATTTTTGAGTTAGCACACTCTCTTTGTGTATTTCTGAATTTGTCACTGTGACTACATATTGTTTGATATTGGAAGCATTTGTAGTATTAGAATTTATTTTTATCAAATTACTCAAGATTTTGAATCTCAAATATTTTCTAGTATTCATGGATAGTATTTGCCCATCTCTAATTTCTTTATATCTACTTTTTGCAATTTTATTCAGTTCTTATTTTTCATTTTTATTTTTCAACATTTGAGATAACATTTATAAAAAGTATAGAATACAATTATTTATACAAAGTATAGTAACTGCACATGTGTTTGTAATGATGTGTGCTTAAGGGAATGAATACAAAAAGATAATAATATAAGAATATAAAAAAAAAGAATAAAATAAAATAAAATAAAATAAAAAGCTCGACAGAATTGCAGTTATTATTTTTTCGTAATTTTAATTTAAGTTCTATTTCTTTAATGTTCTTTTTACATTATTATTTAACTGATGAAGATCATTAAAAATGATTGAAAACGTTTTTACGATATTAAATTATTTACTAGAATATTTAAAAAGACAATAATTTTGCTTAATTCCTTCTAGTTCCAGTACAAGTTAATATTTTTAGTATAATACACATTAATATAATTTCAATATTTATATTATAATTCTTCAGAATCTGAAACTTATATTCCATTAATGATAAGGAAATGCAAGCTACAATTATAAATGATTAATAATTGTAAATTAAACCAAAGAACAATGTACTGAGATAGCTTTGCTTAAACATCTGTTTACAAAAAACTATTTGACGCTTCAACACTTGATATTTTGTACTCATTTATAAAAAAGAAGTGACTCTAAAATATGAAAAAATATCTGACTTACTATCACCATCTACAAGTCAGGCTGCAAACTTTTCAAATCACTCATATATATGCTTTCAGAGAGTATTAAATACCATATATTCTGGCGTATAAGACGACCCCCAACTTTTGAGAAGATTTTCCTAGGTTAAAAAGTCGTCTTATACGCCAGAATATTCAGTATTTCTTCAGATATAAATATTTATGTGTGATCAAATAAACCTTAGTCAAAAATACTGTATAGTTTTTGTCTTAGGAGATGATGTTAACTTTTTAAGTTCAAGAAAAGATGATATAATATTATTATTAAAATTAATTTTAATAATAATACATAATAATATATGTAAATCTTTATAGTCACCTTCTACACATTCATCACAGCATTCTCCTGGGATTAGCATCTTTGTTTCATTCTGTAAAAAATTATTTATTTATTTTTTTAATTTGATACAAAATTTAATTGTTTATAATCATACTTAATAAACTTTAAAATGTTGACTACTAAAATTTTTATATAATATTAACTAATAAAATTTTCTTCCAACTTCAATGTGACATATAATTTAGGAAAGAGGAGGAAAATTCAATTTGTATTCACAAGTAGACTTTAATTAAGAATTTTAAATATATTTGGAATTTAAATGTGAAAAATATTTTTTTTCCTTCACAAAAAGTATGTTGAATGAATTTTTATTTAAATTTAGATAACGATTGTTTGTTTATTAATTCTGCATTTAAACATTTTATCAAATTATTTTGCTTCCTGTTATAAATTTAAATATGCAATAAATTTCCAAAAAATATTTAATGTTTTACAAAATTTTATTGGTTCTTGAATTCCTGATTTTCAGGCTATCACATTATTACAAAATTATGATGTAAGAACTCATAAGAAATCAAAATATTGTCAAGAAAATAAAATTAAGAATAGTAATTGTAAAATGAAAAGATTAAATCTTTGAAACATATCATAGTGACTTGCATTCTTATATTAATAAAATTTGCTTACATAAGTTTGGCCTTATAGGTAAATGATCACAGCAGTAATCAACTGTAGAATATATTTAAGTGGAGGACATTGACTTCTCTGAGCTAGTGCAAGGATTGAGATATTTAATATTTTATTAAACATATTCTGCCCATATAAACTAATATATATCTGTAAGTATGAAAATGTTTGAGAGATTTTTATGTCAGATGACTCTATTTAAGCAGTATTTGTAGTTATTAATCATATTTTGATTGAAATATCTTTTTAACTTTTAAACAATAATGAAAGTAAATACTACAGTTTTAAAGACCATTCTATGCATTTCTGTTGTTCACACAGATTTGTGATTTTTGTAAATATCAGTAAATTATTTTATATACAGCTTATTGTCATTGCCATGGTTCTATTTATAGCTTTTATGAATTACTAAAAATCTGGAAAGAGAATTTATTTTCTAGTATGTTCCTATAAGTTAAAAGTTTATCTTCCCATCATTCATTAGATTATTTTGAAGAAAGAAAATGTTATATGTTAATATCTAATGCCATCATTAACAACAATTATTTCAAGACAGCAGTTTTAAATATGACAGAATCTTTTCTTCAAAGGTTTCAGCAATTCAGAAATGGTAAAATGACTTTAGCTTTTATTACAATCCTCTTAATGCCAATGTGAAGAAATTAAATATTTCTCCGTTTGATACTGACATGGCTAATATTGAAATATAATTATGGGACTTAACTGCAAAGACTGATGTAGCTCCAAATTTGTACATCTTGATACTAAGATAGAAGAACTAGGAAAAGAAAAATGCAATCTGATTTCACAGTACAAGAAGACTGCTATAAAAGATCTACAGAAGATAGACTCAATGATTTTTACTACTTGGAATAGTCTTCTGGATTCATAATATGAGTTGTAAAAATTTGAATACAGTGTTCTCAGTATCTTTGGGACTATGTATTTATGTGGAAAATTGTTTTCTAACATGGATTGCATTAAATGTAAATTGACATGCCAAATTACTGATGCCAACTTGGAATCATGTCTTAAATTGAAAATGACTAGTTACAAATTAGACATACAGAAACTAAGGGAATGCAAGCTCATTGCTCACACTGATTAAAACCAATGAGAGAAAATTAAAACCAATTTTTGTGTAACGTTTTCTTCATTTAATAAAGATATAATTATTATTATAACAAGTTATATATAATATTACTTTAAATTTTCCTTATTTGTAAAAATATATTTATGGCTCTTGAATGATTTTTAAATTGTTGTGAGGGACAGATTTGACTCTTCTGTCTCAAAACTTTGCCAACTGCTGTGCTGTATAATAAATAAATCAATTAAATTAGAATTACACTTAATGTTATAAATTAAGAATAAATTCTGTTTAACTTGAGTTTTGATTTTCAAATACGATTAAAATTGTTTGAGTTATTAGTGTGAATTAAACAATAAGTCTTAAAAAATAATTAAATTAATATTAATTTTAATTGACTTTTAACTTACTTCCAAACATGTTACTTCTGAACATGGTCTTTTCATGCATGTTATATCACCTTTATCACATTTACAGTTTTCACAGCCTACTGACCAAACTTCTCCATCCTAAAAAAAATATACAAATAAATATAATTGGAAGATTTTTTAAAAACAAAATAACTTTTTGAAATACATACTCTCCAATGGTTTATTATTGTATTACTATATATATTTTTATACTTATTTTTTTTAAATAATTTATTATTAGTTTATTTAACAATTTAGAATAAAATATATTTATATTTACTTTTAAAATAAACATACTTACTAAATATATATGTTTATTATTTGTACAGTAACTGGTATCTGAAAAAGAAATTAATAATGTAATTTTTACATAAACAGAAATATACAACTTCAAAAGCATTTATGCATTACAGTATTTTAAAATATTTTTATTTTTCTTACATTATTAGTAATTAATTTGAATAATAATAAATAAAAATAAACACAAGAAATCCAGCAAAAAATTTATTACAATTTTCATGATGACTCAGGATATCTTCTAATTTAACTTTGAAGTTAAGACTATTTACAAAAATATACATTTTCAAGTTTATCCATTTATCTTTTAACAAAACCACAGAAGTAAAGTTACATTGAATTGAAGAAAAAATTTCATTAAAAAACAAATAATAATAGGTAAAAATTCACAAAGTTAAAACAATATCAAATGTCAGCCTTTTATTTGAGAATCTGATGATTTTACATTAAAAACAAGAGTAAATCTTCTCACCATATCATCAAGTCCTTAGCCAATTTATAATTGCTTCTAGCCCTCTGGTGGTAGGTACAAGTTATTCATTTCATTTACAACATTCAGGTTAAATTTGATAATGCCCATATATTACACTACTGTAACAACCCATCCAACCTGAAGTATTTTGAATGAATCAAAATATTCAAAACCTTCAAAAGGAATATAGTAATTAATTATAGAGAGATGGACTCTCTTTTGAATGCATGGTGAGCATTCTATGACCTCCTAAAGTCTTGTATATAGGTTTTATTTAACAAAAATGAAAGAACTGGAACTTGTTGAAATCAAGTACATAAGAAACTTTTCTCTTTCCAGAAAATTATATATAAANGCAGCATTCACATCATGCTTCAATCCACATATTACAATACTAGCAAATGAGCCTGGCGTGGCTCGGGCAAATGATTTGGATGCTTTAGTAAATATTGTACATTTGGAAATTAAGTTATTACTATCAAAAACAAAAAATCACATCTAAAATAGTACAGTAGAAGCTGTTTTTCAGGTTAAGCCTTAACCCTTTCCCTCACCGTGGGGGAATTTCATAAAATCCCTTCTTAATGTGCATTTTCATGATGTACCCTAATTGTGTACCAAATTTGACCCCTTTAGGTTCAGCTGTTTAGCTGAACCTAAAGGGGTCAAATTTGGTACACAATTAGGGTACATCATGAAAATGCACATTAAGAAGGGATTTTATGAAATTCCCCCACGGTGAGGGAAAGGGTTAAGGCTTAACCTGAAAAACAGCTTCTACTGTACTATTTTAGATGTGATTTTTTGTTTTTGATAGTAATAACTTAATTTCCAAATGTACAATATTTACTAAAGCATCCAAATCATTTGCCCGAGCCACGCCAGGCTCATTTGCTAGTATTGTAATATGTGGATTGAAGCATGATGTGAATGCTGCATTGTACACGCACACATTTCATTACTATTCCATCTTTTAAATTTGTAAGATGTTCTATTTTTAGAATACATATTCAATTTATATGTGCTTTCTTCTAATCTGAAGATGACCATTTAAAACAGAGGAAAATGCTTGTTTTGTTTTAATATATTCATTTTTTGCTAGTTTTTTGGTATTTACTTGTATTTATTATTATTTCTTATTAAATTACACCAGTATTATCATAGAGATTGTATTAATTTGAATTACAAAATAACCAAATATATTCAAAATATTCTAAAGGTATACTGAAATGCAAAACAAAGTATATATTGAAACATACCTTTTGATTTCCAGCAGTATTTTAATATAATGAAACATTTTCAACTTATTCTTAGGTTGAAAATATTTTCATTATATTAAAGTAACGAAATACATATAAAAAAACCAGATTATTTTCAGATAAATTAATTTTTAGTTAATTAAATAATGGAATTTGGCCTAAAGGTATACAATTATACTTCCATCATGTGCTGAATTTAATTTAATTACAAAATACTGAAAGAAAAGATCAATCTGAAATTTGCAACTTCTTTAGCAGTTATGCTATGTGCATCTCTGTCCTACTTGTTCTTCCAAATCTATTTTAATTTGGATCATATAACTGTACAAGTTACTTGCCATTGTGAGATAAGCAGGGGACCAGGGGTTAATCCCTTCTGACCAGTTAATCTGCACGGGCTGGTAAAGGCTGATCTCTGTGTCTGTTGGATGGCTTAGAAGGCAAAAAGTGAGTGGGGAGTGTGTTGGTACATGGACAGGAGTCTTTCTGGAAAAAGAGATCGACAGGTTGACAAGTTAACAAATAAAACATTTATTGGTTAGCTAAGGTTAACATATAAGATCATTACAAGACTACTCGATTAAATGTGGTTAAATGCAAGTTACACAAAGGGCAGCTGTTAGCTCCATCTAATTCTGTTTCTGGAGAGAGAGAGTTCGCAGAGTGCTAACATACAATACCTCTAGGCGAGAATGGACAGTATACACCGAAGTATGGAAGACACCGATGGTATGGAAGAGTCTGCAGCTGTTGAATGCCTTCTCCGACGGGATCCAAGTCCTTTGCATGGAGATCGACTGGCACAAGTACAGAAATAACTTCCGTGTGCAGATGCACCTTGAGCTTCCATTAGCTCAAGGTGCATCTGCACACGGAAGTTATTTCTGTACTAGTCACTTCCATTATAGCATTAGGGTGGGAAAGTGGTCCATTGTTGACAGTGACTTGCAACTCTTGACAACTAAGTGTCAACTTTCCCACCTAACTGTTGATAGTTGGAGGAGACCTCTACTCCAATACTCTGTGAGGAGTTTTTCTATGGGGTGTTTACAACAATTTTGAACAACCAAAAAAAAAAAAAAAGGAAGGTTTCCTTTCATTAAAAATTCCCCTCTAAAATCCGCGGTCTCACACCATTAATTCAAAATTAATTTCTTATTATTAATTTTAGCACAAGATGATAGGTTAACCATTCACTTTTAAGCCAAATTGTATGATTTAAGTAACTGAAAATTAGTTTAACTACAAACTGAAAATTATTTGGCCTTTAGATATATACTTTATCAAAATCAGGCTTTGTTTTATTGTGTAGTTATAAATATTTAATTTTTATGTTATTTTATAATTTAATACAATCAAATAAATAAAAATATCTCCAAATAAATTAAAAATCTGAAAAATGAAAAAAATTACATAACTGTTTAATACATTACATGTTAAATAACACAAATGTCAAGACATTACATATGATGTTAAAACTTTGAATGTATGGGAGTTAAATAAAATCAATATGTGATATCAGATAAAAGAATCCTAATACTACACTATAGTTCATATAAATTATGAAAATATTTATAAGTTTATTATATAAAGAACTGGATCAATAATTCAATAATTAATTAAAAAAAATTATAACCTATGCATGTAACTTGGTCTTCAGCTAGTTTCATTCCATTTGGACAAGAGCATATAAATGATCCTATAATATTTGTGCAAAAATGACTGCAATTTCCATTGTTATTTACACACTCATCAATGTCTGAAATAAAATAATTTTTATTCATTAATGCACCAAGATTTAAAAACATGACTTTTTTAACATTAAAGAATAAAAGAGAATTTTCTCTATATTTAATATATACAGACAATCATGGACTGTTGAACTCACTCTTTTGTACACAATACTTTAATTTGCTTAACTCACTTCTGTATGCCAAATTTGTACTTTTGTATATTTTTAGTTGATCAAAAATATTATGAAAATTAATTTTTATTGTTTGTTTTATTTGTAGTTTTAACATTTTAAATAATGTTTTATACTTTGTTACATATTCACTTTAAAAACTGTTCCTACATTAAATAAACTCAGCTCTTTAGTAACGAAAACCCTTTATAACATGTAACTCTACTCCTTGAGTTTTGGACATTTGTACACATTTTTAGAATGTGTTAAGTCAAAGAGTCAAGGTCCACTTATATACAATAAAAGCAAATTTACAGTTAAAGAATTCATTTGTTTATAATATAGACTTTTATATACTAGAATACTAAAATAATAGTAATGGCATTTTAATGCTATTAAATTTGAATGAACAATAATCTTTTTCAGTTTCTTAGTCATTTACTTTACCTCAGAATCTAAAGCCAATTTCAAAAAAATATTTAGAATAATGAGAAAATTGTTAATGTTTGGGATTCATTAAGGAGACAGAGAGACAATGAACATTTGTAACAGAAGCAACAATTCCTTTTATTCTAAAGACTAAAACAAGAATAACATAGGCTGCGTATCAAACAGATGTGAGGGTGTGACACAAAACTGCAGGAGTGAGACAGAAGAGACAAGGAGATTTCTCTGTCCATGGGAGATCTCCCTGCCAGACCAAATTGGTTCTCACTTGCAAGCACTAACACTCCCTCTTAATTTGATATCAGGGAGATCTTTGATAGGTCTCCAATTCCCAAGTTGATGATGCATGATCAATGCTTGTCTTAAAACAAAGGTTTAGTTAGGACATTGTGTTAGACTAGATGTTGCTTGTCAGAGAGATTGGTAAAAACAAGTTAGACTCGCATAACTGGTTATATAACAAAGAAATAAAGAATACACTGTCCTCACTCAAGGAAGATCAGAGCTGAAAAAAGGAGAGTGAAACGAGGTCAATGTCTCTAATGGTTCCCCAAGGGGTCCACCACCAACCTTTTATTACGTAATGGAAGAACGTTTACAAAACATCGTGACACAATGCATTGTATGTAACAATGTTGTATAACATTAGAGAATAATTTCAATCATTGATTCCAACAGTTGACAGGCATCTCATTGGTCAGCAATTATTTGATGCTGACATCTTTGCATTCTAGAGCTTCCTGGATGAAGCTCTCAGATGAAACATATATCAATATGTTTCATCTGAGAATGGAAGATGAGTTCTTGGCAAGCTTCTGGGTGCTTTGATTGCCATCATATATTGTTTTTGGGACATAATGATTATTTTTTCGAGAGGTGTGAATTTGCTTGTTTCAAGGTAACACATAGTAGAGATTGCTGATGTGATTGGCAACTGTGGCTACTGTCCCTTTTGGGTTGATGACTCGGGCACTGAATTGATTGAATATCACTTTGTAACCTTTTGTCCATTATTTTGGAAACTGACAAGAAGTTTGTGCAAAGTGATGGCACATGAAAGTATCCAGCAAGTTTGAAGGACCGTTTCTACTTACCTGTATCCTCGTGAATTTGGGCAGTACCAACTGCTTCAATAGGTACAGTTTGATCATTAGCAAGATTCAGATTGGCTTTAGGAGTAGGGTGCAAGTCCAAAAGTTCTTTTCATTCAGAACATATGTGTGACATGGCTCTACTGTCAAGACACTAAGCATGGTTAGGCATTCAGTGTGGAAAGTAGACTCACATGTGAAAAATGTTTCATTTTTTCAGACGTGAGTCTACTTGTCAGATTTGCCAGATCTCTGTTAGCTATCTTGCCTCTCCTCTTTGCAACAGTCACTTTCTTTATGGCTAACCTTTTGGCAAAAAGTGTACCATAGTTTCAATCCTTGTTTTCTGCTCTGTGTGGTTCAATTTGTAATACAGTCAACCGCCCTATAATGTGGTAGATACGTTCCGCTTTATAAGAATTTCACGTTGTAGGAATCCTTAAATACATGAGCCAATCACAGCCCGGCACATGTGCAGTTTACGGACTATGGTTGTTTGAAAGGTTTCTTCCATAAAATTAATCGATTCTAGACTAATTTCACTCAACATTTCCAAAACATATAATTTTTTGGGAATAATCTATGCTATAAACAAAAAATTGTAGGATCACTTACCAAGTGTGCACCGTTCGACGATGCCATTGCTTAATTAATTAAGCTTGTTTTTGTCGCGGAACAGCACACCAAATGGCGGGCGCATTTTCTGATGAGTTATTTTTCTTTGAAAAATTTGTTGAACTTTGGAGACATCATTAATAGAAATAATTTTTATGGCCATTGAATAAGAAATGTATAAAATTACAGTACTGTATTAGACTTACAGTACCTAATTTACCTAATTTAGCCTATATACTGTACAGATGATAGTAAACTCAACTTACTGCCTAAACGCTCCGTAGCGTGTAAGTAGTTCAGCTGCTTGTCCACTATTGGTCCAGATTCGACCAATCCTGTCGCGACACGTGTCGGCAATAACGTTTTACCACATTTTACGAGTCGCTTTTAACGTCTTTATACGAATATGGTTGCAGTTTTTTTGCCGCAATATACAAATCCGCATTATATAAACCCACGTTATAGGGGGCTAGTGTACTTAAACCCATCATTTTCATGGTGGGCAGTTGGTGCATCATTATGTATTATATTATATATTATACATTCATAGAAAGATTATCCTTTGTATTCTTCTAAGATCTTCACCTTTAAGGTTTCAAGTTTGGGAAGGTTGTCTCTCATTTCAATTGCAGTACAAAAGGTGTTGAAACTGTTGGGTAGACTGTATAATAACAACATAGAGAGAAATTCCTCATTTACCATGATTCCTAAGTCAGCAAGTTTATCTGCAATTTCTAAGCACTTAGCGATGTGATCATGAAGGTCTTCCCTTCATGTAGCTTGATAAGAATCAGCATTTTTATGAGAGACATGTTTTTCACTAGACCATGGGATTGATAAATCAATCTGAGCTTTTCTCAAATTTCCCTCAAAGTTAAGCAATTCTTTGTGTTTCAGTTGGATGGACTTAACATTAATATAAAATTTATCTTGCCTTATGATCGTTTTTCGTTCAGCTATCATATTCAGCTTGATTCTCGGTTACCAGTGACTATGGTGGGACATGGTAATGCTCCACTGGTGTATTCCCATATGCTGTCCCTTTCAAGCGCTGCTTCAGCTTGAAGACACTATGTATTGTAATTTTCACAATTTAGCAATTCAACTTTGAATGAGTTCATCCATATTGAAACAATAATTGATTGATAAAATATGAAAGACAAAAAATATGAACCACTTGGCTAATCAATCAGTGATAAGTTTTGCGGTGAAGATGGTACCTGGTCCATAACCTGTTAATGTTTGAGATTCATTAAGGAGACAGAGGGACGATGAACATTTGTAACAGAGGCAACTCCTTTTATTCTAACGACTAAAACAAGAATAACATAGGATGTGGATGTATATCCAACAGATGGGTCTCATATGAGGGTGTGATGCAAAATTGTAGGTGTGAGACAGAGAGGACAAGGGGATTCCTTTGTCCAAGGGAGGTCTCCCTGCCAGACCAAATTGGTACTCACTTGCAAACACTAACAAAAATAGTCTATAATATTGAAATGATTATTATTTGATTTGGATGATGCTAATGAGAATAATTTCAATAATAGTTTACTTATTTCAAAAATCCTAAAAATTTAATTAATTATACAGATAACAAATAGTCTTTAAAATTCTGAATATAAATGCAATTCTCTAAGCTTTAAACTAGCTTAACATGTAAATAAACCCATTTTATGTAAATACTCTTAATTTTGTTCTTTATTTTACTATAAAACATGAAAAAGTAAGCCATACTCCCAATGCTTTTTTTCATGTATGCTATATCAATTGTATTAATTCCTATACAACATTTTCTTTAAAATTTTAGTTTAGTAGTTTTTGCTCTTATTTTTTAAAAATTATAACATTTAAAATTGAAGACACAAGTGGATAAAAGTATTAAGTTACAATCATTCAAAATCCAATTATACTGCATGGATGAAAGTCTAATATATTCATTTTTTTAGATACAACCATCAAAGATCTCAGAAATTAAATTACATTCTTGGTCTCTGCAACAAATGGTTTTAAGGATGTATTTATACCAAAATAATTACATAAAACTTTGAACATCAATTCACTCAAAATCTTGATTTTGAAATATAACGTCTTCATCCACTTGTGTCTTCAATTATCAATCCTTGTTGCACTTGTGACAATGGTCTTGGTATCCCCGAGAATGAGCTGAGATGTGATAATACTAGAGTTTAAGATAACTTTTTTGATTTTACCTTCAAAATATCAGGGAACTATATATGAAATATTTAGATTTATTTAATTATTTCACATTTATTCTATAAGGTATATTTTATGCCATTTCTTCCTCAGTAGTATCTATTCAAGTTTATGACCCTTATTAACACAATAAACGTTCTAAGAAATCATGAGTTCAGAATACAATATACAAATGGGTTTAATATACAAACTAGAAAGATAAGTTTCTTTATGTTTGAAAAATGGGACAAAAGTGAAAATCTTACTAAAACAATGGAACAGAGCAAAAATTAGTACTGTTCTTTTCAAAATGGTCATCCAAAATGATATACAGATGGTCAGCCTACAGTGTAGGCATACCATCTGTACCATTTTGAAAAGACCATTGTATGTAATATATACTACTTTATAAATAAATCATAAGATACATTATAATAACTTTGTACAGATTATTAATTGCCTTATTGAATTTTAGATTCTTCCTACTGTCATTATATGACTGCCTAGGGCATATATTATGAGTATATTTGAAATTTAGCATCTTTTAAATTTGAATTTTGGCAAATTTTCTTTATTAAAAATACAAAAAAAAATATTAATTTAATTTAAAAAGAAAAATATAATAAATGTTAGTAATATGCAAGTACATATTTACTTATTTAATTTAATAAAATATAATTTTTAATCAATGTTAAATTTTATCACTAATATATTCAAGTTATACTATTTGTCACTAGTACCACTTTTCCACTGAACCCCTCAACTTATCAAATGTATTAGGTCATCAAGTGATTTACAATGCATTTTATTATGTTTTATTGAAATTGTTGAAAATAATAACAATTGTAGTGAATTAATTATATTATTGCTTATAATTTGAAAGAATGAACTAACAACTTTTCATTCTATGAAAAATTAATTGAGAAAAATGATAAAAAAGTAAACTTTCCTGCATTATATAAAAATAAAATAATACTAAATATTTATTACTTTTATGAATTCTATTACAATTATTAAAGTTTCAACACAAAATCTGATTGATTAGTTAACTTACAGCATTAGCACATTAAAGACTATATACATATTGGTCACAATTACATCAATTATGACAAATCTAATAAAAACTTATTAGAACTAAAATAAAGACACTTGAATAAACATCAATCAATTTAAAATAAAGTATAGAATATTTAATGTTTACAATACCATATTGACAAAGATTTCCTTCTAATCCAGCAGAACAATGACATTGAAAAACACCATTTTTCAATATACATTGCTGATTATTAGCACATGGATTTGGCTCACAAGTTAGCACCGATTTCCAACAATTTGAATCTAAAATTCAATTTGAAAATAGAAAAAAAACCATCAAAACTTTTTAAATTAAAATATTTAAGCATTTATATATTTGTTACTATTTTCTTAATCTCTAATTATTTAATTAGATTACTATTAAATAATTAATAGTAAAATTACACATTAAATTATTATTAATAAATGGGTAAATTAATGTTGAGACTCAGAAATTCATACAATGTCAGCACATAATTACAGACAGATGGTGCAATGAGTTGTATGAGTGACCTTGTGTGATCTAACATGATCTTGGCTCTTCCCACCAAGAACAGTGTTCTGTAGAATTGAAGTTTCATTACACAATTTAAATAAGGCAATTTATTGGTTTTATCTTTATCTAATTCATAATAAAGCATATTACAAAAACTAGAGGCCTGAATAATTCATTTAAAAATTAATAATTATTAATTAAGTATTTAAGAACTTAAAACTTTTTAACACCTTTTAATGTTTGTCTATATATAATTTAAAAAAATAAAAAACTACAGTTCCTTTCTTTAAAAAAAAATGAAAAAATTGTATAGCATTAGTTGTGATTTGTTTTATTAATCTTAATAATTCAGTTTTATTCTAAAAAAAATTTTTTAATTAATTGAAAAGGTTACATTGTAATGATAAAAACTACAATGTAGTATTACAATTATTTGCATTTATTTAAAAAAAATCATCAATGTATTTTTCTCAAGCATAAATGATTCTTTATAATTTTGAAAATCATTAAAAATATTGTAATTGGATAGATAAATATACATATACTCTCTTTTGTTATAACACGTGTTTCCAATCTGTAAATTTGGTCATAGCATAATAGATAAACAAGGGAATAAATAATGAAAACATAGAATTGTTTTTACTCAATTTTTCACAAAGAATATACTTAGACTAATGTGTAATATGAGCCAGCTAATGTAGTAACTTATGCAGGAATAAACAGAACATACAGACCCCTATCTTTTTCTTATCCCACTTTACTTATGTTGTTGTTTTACAAGCATGTATTACACTATTCTATTGATTTTGTATATTTTATTATGCAGTATGAAATATTTTATTGATAAAAATATTTCAGACAGCATCTCAGACACAAGTAAGCTTCACAGATTTTGAGTGTTCTGCTCATAACTCGTAGTTTTAAAAAATATTTCAATTAATACAAAAATTAATTAAAATGGCCAAGGACTATAAATATATATATAAATATTCACAGTATAGACCAACAATAAGTCTCCACATCTTATCTTTTTTCACAGCCTCAGGAATAAAACAGTCTTTATTTATAGTCCTTGGCCATGTTAATTAATTTTTGCATTAATTGAAACATTTAAAAAATATTTTTGTGATTTGTGTTGTCACCTAGAAATTGCATTTTAACATTTTTACATGAGGCAGACAAGGAGCCTCAAAGACAAGGTCAACTCCATCTGTAAAGACTGTTTTATTCTTGAGATTGTGAAAAAGGGCAAGATGTGAAGACTTTTATTGTTGCTTATATATTGTGAATATTTAACTCTTAGTTTTGTTATGTGAAATTTTGTAATGACTTTTAGGAACACATACTGTATTATGAAAGAAACAAGAAAATATATTTTGATCATTTTTTATTTAAAAATAAACAAAATATTTTTCAATAGATATTTATAAATACCAACTTACCTAATAAAAATTCATTATATATAATTACAGATGTATCATAATTAGCTCTAAAATATTTTGGTACATGAAAATCATAAAATCACAAAGTTATATAATTTTTAAACTATGATTTTTTAGTGTTTAGATGTCCTAGCCTTAGTTGTCATAAACTTTCTTGTGAATATTTATGTCTTTTATTAAAAATATGATTTTAAATATATTTTACATCTAAATATACTATTTAATTTAGCATTTTATTATTTAAAGTAGCAGTAAGAAAAGAAATTAGTAATAGGATTATCCAAAATCATCATCCTAATATTATTTTTGTAAGATCTAATCTTCCTAAACTTTTTCCTTTTATTTAATTCATTACTCTACTACTGAGGTCTTATTTAATTAGTTCTAATATTTGTTTTTGAAATAGGAAACATATCAAAAGTTGAATAAAATATATAATAAACACTCACAAAATCTTATATCACAGATGATATATATGAGAAATAAATAATTAGTAATCCTCAGTTTTTAATACAGATACTATATGATTCTTTGAAGGACAGTGCTTTTGAAAGTTTGAAGTTGCTAGAACAATTTTAAATAGATTGAAATATTTCAGCATATAGAAATTAAACTTTTTAAATTGGAAAAAATAAATTATTATTATTATAAGAATGTTAGAAAGAAAAAGCTTTTTTAAAAACAATAAAAATAGTTTTATTTATTATTAAAAATAAAGTAAATTTAAAAAATTCTAACAAATTTATTTAAATGTCAAAATTTCCACTCACTTTCCATTGTTGCATTTTTATAGCAATAACAATGATAATCACTACAAACACCATTTTCTGGAAAAAAGTTTATTTTCATAAGAAAAATTTTTATATTAAAACAGTATGATATTAATCCTAAATCATAAAAAAAATTTTTAAAGTAGAACTGAAAAATAAAACAATTTGTTATAAGAAGTCATTGTAATATTCATTTCAAAATTTTTGAAGTAACTACAATACTACTTTTGGAATTATCTCATTTTTCTCATTTCATTTAAAATATGTTTTGTTAGTATATATTAAAAATTTCATCTTTATCTGTATAATGTAATTTAAAAAAAAAAAAAAATGTAGATAAACCTTACACAGCTTGTTTATGTTGTATGATATTTAAAGCTTTCTGTTTGATGGTATTTCCTTCAATAAGGATTTGTTTCTGATTGTTCTCTTCAATTCTTATGTTATTAATATCTATTCTGGTATGTATTAACATCGGAATTAGATTACGAAAAGGATTGAAACGGATTCTCATAAACAGCTAAATCAACACGTCTTTATTGAAGTACATAACGGTGCAGAACTCTGCAGTGCGCAGGCGCGCTACTACATATATACATTTGAACTGCCATAGATGGCACTGCGATACATAGCATCATCCCCTCCTAAGGAGAAGTTACAAACATAGTCTTGTAAGTATCTAGGAGTTTTACGATGTCTACGACTTGACTCTTGAGTACTAGAGGAGTCTGAAGTTAAGACAGTATCTGATGATGAATTTTTCATGTTGTCTTTCTGGGGAATATTTTCAACTATAGGATTATTTTCTTCTTCCCACCACAGCTGAAGAGGAACGAATGAAGCACCTTGAGATTCGAGGGATGAGGATGATCGAGATCTCAGTTGATCAATATGACGTTTCCATATGGAACCATTAGGGAGCTCAATGTTATAGGTAACAGGTGAAAGTTTCTGAATAACTTTACCAGCAACCCAATATTCTTTAGAACAAAAGTCACGAGCAAAAATTGTGTCTCCTATCATGAAAGAACGCTGTGGACGAACTACGTTGTTATCCGATAAGGTTAAAGGGCGCAACAAATCTAGTCTTGAACGAAGTTTTCTGTTGAATAGCATTTCACTAGGTGTTTTACCAGTAGAACAATGAGGAGTAGTACGATATG